TCAGGTTTACTACGGCTATGTTAAAGTCACAAAACCGTATGGTGTCACTATAGTAAGACACTGACCTTTAACTGCTGTTCTTATTTAATATTTGCTATAATATTTGATTTCATTTGTGATTCCTATTCCCTGCATTACTTTAAAAATAGCTAGATTTGCATTTGCTTTTGCTAGCATCTATTTAAAACCTCACTCATGTTGCTATTAATATCTAGCTTTACACACCAGCATCACAAGGGTCCAAATGTGCCACTGTCCCTGTGAAGAATCCTTCATTTTCCTTTGGTCATTAAAAGGCTGCAGATCAGTTACTGATAGAAGCCCATTTGCTTGTTTGCTTTTTTAAAAAAGCAAAAAGGCATCTAACAAATTCACATGATATTCAGATGGGCTTTTTCTTAGAACGAAGAGACTGCTTACGCGTTTTGATTTATAAATCTGTTTTTCTCATATGGCACTTTTCAAAGCAGCAGTATTGTTAGTCCAGACCCCTACATCCTCCAACACCAGTACAGGGTAATGCAGTGTTTTCTGAAGTCTGCCAAGTGGTGACAAAGCAAAATGAAGACCTGAGCCTTGCAAATATTGAGAAAGAGCCATCTCACTGAATTTCATTATTTTGATAGAGACATAACATGACTTTTCAAGATGCTCATTCAAACAGCGAGTTCCCCCCCCACCCCAGCAACAGAACAAACAAAGCACCCCCTAGTTTAAAACTGCATATTGAAGCATTTTTTACAAACAGCACTGCGGGTTGAGAGGCAGAGTACGGAGAGAGGAAAAAAGATTCTCCCTGGAGGCTCACATGTGGACACAGGCATGAGTCTCTGTGGGCCAGGTCTGACGGCTGTGCTCTTGAGGCGAGGCTCAGGGTGCGAGTGACGTGCCCAGCTCACCTTTAGCCAGCGGCTTGGCTGTGTGTCTCCCTCCCCCTGCCCCCCATGGCAGAAATGGGGTGTGTGTGTCTTATTCACCGAAACAGCAGGAGCTGAGGCATGCGGGCAATCAGCTGAAGGGCAAAAATGGACTTGGGTACTTTGTTGCACATAGCTGAAATTTTGAGTTGAAAAACCAAAATCTTCACACTGTTGCTTGTGGAGAGAAGACAAAAACATTTCGTTGACCTCAGAAGATGTGAGGAAATCTCATTAGTTTTATTAGGTCATATAAAGATATGAGACTTACAGTTTGGACTCTGGAAATGGTGCAGCAACAGTAATACTTTGACCCCAGCACATATGCCAGCATGGCATGAAGCGTACGTTAGGGGCTGATCCTGAAGTCTCTGCGTGTAATGGACTTTGGTGGGCACAACAATTCCTTCATTGGTTGTAATTTGACTTCAAGGAAATGGCTGCTGATTTACTCTGGGCATAACTGAGGTGAGGCTCAGGCCTCCTGTTTTTAAGACATTTGAAGAATATACCAAGTATGCATTATAGGTGTACATATGTATATGAACCTGGAAATAGATGTACATTATTTCTCTACATGATGGCAACATCCTTAGTTCTGTAATTGGCACTGCTACATTGGTGTCCAGAGTGATTTAACTCAGCAGGTTACTAACCAGATCTGGCCTCCAATATCCTAGTGTCTAAGAGAGGCCTTATTTTAAATTACTTTATTTCAAGGAAGAAATACATTTCCTGTGTCCCAAGAGCATATGAAGAGGACAATCAGTCTTCTCCAGATTGCAGAGCAACATCAACTCCTCCCTGTGAGTGAAGTGTGAATGTTGCATTCCCAAAGCAGGATCCATATCTTGGGTCTCTCTCTAGGCAGAGTTGGTTTTGCACACAGGTAGTCTCCTTATTTTTTTCAAAAAAGCACAGGAAGCCGGCAAGGTCCTTGTTTACCAAATCCAGCAAAAGAATCAGCTGGAGTCCTCAGCCTTGAATTCAGGAGCACATCACAGCCTGCGCTGGGGAAGCAGCATAAATCACAAGAACCTGGGGAGAAGCAGTAGCAGTCCCAGGGTTTCCTACTAATCTCCTCCCTCCCACGTGCATGCACACGCAACACATGAAGAGCTCTGGGGGAATTCCACAAGGCGCAGGGAGGTGAGCATGAGTGGGGGATGTTGGCGTGGACCTACTGTTTCCAACTGCTGGGCAACATTTGACATCCATAGTGCTCGGCTTCTCTTTTGCCACAAGGCAACAAAGGAGGCGGCATTTGTACCACCCAAGGCAAAGGCTGTTCTCACCTTATGATCCCTTACTAATACAGAGGAGCTGGTGGCAGAAATGGCCTGTTGGGAGCAGCTAAACACAGGCCTGGGGTGGCATTGGTTCAGTCCGGTTGTTTGTAGCTCACAGTCTTCTTAAAGCAACCTCTGGAAGTGGAGCGGAAGAGCATGGTGATGGCTCGTGGGTGCGCCTCCTCTACAGGCAGGACCAGATCCTCCCTCCCCGCAGAGCCAGGGAGGCTTTGTATGACAGGGGAGAGGGTACCCCCTTGCAGGCTGTGACACCCGTGGGGTGCTGAGGAACATGGGGAGTGACCTAGTGCCCCACTGTCACCTAAGGGACAAGGAGGTCCTTTACAGTGCACCGTGGCCATGAGGCTTAGTGCGAGATGGCCTGGGATTTACTCTCAGAGGAAACAGGGAAGTGTGTGGGTTAGTCAGCCGGGGGCTTATCAGGGGAGGTGGTGAAGTGAGCATGAGGAAAGGGGAAAATAGGGGTGAAAAGGAAGGCTTGGTTTGCCCTGCTCCCAGACCTGGCCGAGCAGGTATTCTTCACTGAGGTGGGACAGAATGGCTGGTTTATCTCATCTTTTCTGTCTCTAACCTCTGCCACTGCAATGAAGTGATATATTGGGCTGGGGCTGCTGAAAGAAAAAGAATTTATTTGGTACTACTCAATATAGCAGGAACTGAGTCTCTGTGACAAACATCACTTTTTGGGATGGCACTGTTAAATGCCATGTACTTCTGCTTCCAGGAAGACCATTAAAAAGCATCTGCCTCTGTGGTTGCTCACAGAATTG